CGTCCTCCTGTGGGACACCGTCCCCGGTCTAGGACCAGACCCCCTGAAACGAGGGGAGGGCAGGGGATAAGGCCGCGGTATCGTTACCTCGTCCTCCTGCGGGACACCGTCCCCGGGATCCGACCAGACCCCCTGAAACAAGGGGAGGGCAGGGGATAAGGCCGCGGTATCGTTACCTCGTCCTCCTGTGGGACACCGTCCCCGGTCTCGGACCAGACCCCCTGAAACGAGGGAAGGACAGGGGAAAAGGCAGCGGTATCGTTACCTCGTCCTCCTGTGGGACACCGTCCCCGGTCTCGGACCAGACCCCCTGAAACGAGGGAAGGACAGGGGAAAGGCAGCGGTATCGTTACCTCGGCCTCCTGTGGGACACCGTCCCCGGGATCCGACCAGACCCCCTGAAACAAGGGAATGACAGGGGAAAAGGCAGCGGTATCGTTACCTCGTCCTCCTGTGGGACACTGTCCTCGGGATCCGACCAGACCCCCTGGCCACATCCTCCCGCGGTATCCCCCGCGCGCCAGATCGAACCGCAGCCCCCCCGCCCCCCTTCGGCCCGAGGGGCTGAGTTGGGTGAAGAGGACACAGGCCGCGTCTTGCCCCAAGAGGCAAACTTCTCTGAGAAGTGCTGCTTATTGCGGGAAGACGAGCCGTTCTCAGGGCTCGGGCTGAACAGTGTTGTTCGCTTCCGCTTTGTTTTCGACCTCCCTCGCTCTGCCTTCGCTCCGCCTTCGCTGCAAAGAGCGGAGCCAAAACGAAGACGGCCCACGAGATCGCCAAAACACCGTTTGGCTCGACCCCTGGCCATTCTGTCACCCAGGCTTAGGTCGGGCATGTCCTCCTACAGGCGGATTTTGGATCAGAGAGAGGAGTAGTCAAAACAAACCACCCAAAATCGCCAAACATGTTTTGAGTACTCCTGACTTGTCTTGTTTTTTTCTAACGTATGTTTGAATATTCCTTCTGCAGAGGACACGCCCGACTTCAACCCAGGCGTCGTTCCCGCGCGGTGGTGCCGTGCCGTGGCACGATTCACTTCCAAACTGCGAGGCCGGCGCTGAGAGCCGCGCCGTCGTGCCCGGTGCTTCCGGGAGGACTGCGAAGCAGAACGGCCGTGTCGAGCCGTGGCGTGGCGTGCGGGGCCTGCCTTCCACTGTGAAGGTCGGAGCTGCGGGGGGCGCCGGGCCCCCTGGCAAAACCAGATGGGCTGCCGACGACGATGCTGCACCGACGCAGCGATATTGACCTGCGCTGCTCGCCAAAAGCTGGTATTTGACCTGGTTTAACACTTGCGATTCTGGCGCAGAGCAAATTTTCATTGAGGAGTTCTCCATGGCCAAAACTCAAGGTCGGAGCACTGGCCCAAAACATGCCGTGCCATGCCTGTGCTTCAGAATGTGCCACAAAGGGCCGCGCCGTGCCGTGAAACGCGGATGGCTCAAAATGCGACGAACATGCCGTGCCATGCCGCGGTTCCCGGTCGCGACACTTCTCGGCGTGGACTGCTGGAAGATTTGGCCTTTTGTTCGGAAATGGCTTTTCAACTCGTGCTGTTATCTCCCTCCTCGGCGAATGATGTAACAAACCTCAAGTCTTGCACATCCACACACACAAAGCATGCCATCTGAGACCCAGAATGCGAAACGAATTCCGGCCAAGTGCCGTGTCGTGCCGTGCCCGTGCCGCGCCTGAATCCCAGAATGTGTCTGCGTCCGGGGATGCGGCACGCGTCGTGCCGTGTGCACGTCTGAGGTCCAGACTGTGAAAACAGCGCCACGCCGTGCCTGGATCTTCGAGCGCGGATGGGGTGCCGTGCCGTGCCGTGCCCGCGCGCAACGCCGTGCGCGCGCCTGGCCCCTGGAGCGCGAAACAAACAGAGGCGTGCCGTGACGTGCTCACGCCGTGCCTGAGGATACCACACCGCGGCACATGTGCCGTGCCGTGCCGCTCCCGCGTGTCGCGTTGTGCGCGTGCCGTGCCCAAGTCCTTACATGCAGAAGAAAGCAAAACCGCGCCGCGCCCGCGGGTCGTGCTGGTCGCGTACCGTGTCCCAGAATGCGAACGAGGAAGGAGGCGGCGCGCCGTACACCCGCTGTGCCGGAGTGCAAGCAAGTGCCGTGCCGTGTGCGTGTGGTGCCGACTGTGCCTTGTGTCGTGCAGCGGTGGTCTTCAATGATCAGGTCGAAGATCCTCGGAACGTGCGTTAGCGCCAGTGTATGCTTGTCCAGCGACGCCCTTCCACACGACGAATGCGGCGCAATGAGGGCAGGCGCAGGCTGCGCGCTATCGGCGGAGCCCAGCGGGCCAAACACACGCTTGGGCTGACACGCGCCCTGAGGATCATCGATCAGGGCCTCTGCGGTGTGATCTGTGCCACGGCGCCCGGAGCGGAGGAGCCAACGCGCCACAGGTGCTCAGCAAGGGTCGAGGCCTTCTGGGAGGTCACGGGACGAGGGCCGCGGCGGCGGCCCGAGATCTGCGCAGGCAGAGGGCGGGCCGCCTTCTTGCCCCGCTCCCCCTTCTTCTGTCTGTCCAGCTCCGCCCTCCGCAGGGCCCTCGCGTCTTCGCCCTGGGGAGCTCGGGGGGGGCACGAGTGCGCGCGCGAGGGGGCAGCGCGAGGGAGGTGCCTTTCCGGAAGGGCACGGGGCCTCCCAGAAGGGGTCGGCCCCTCCGTATAGGGCTTATACGAAGGCTTCTTCGAGGAAGGGCCCGCTGAGAAGGCAGTCTCCCTCACCCTGCCCCCCTTTGCGTGCCGCTGGAAGTGGCGCGTGGCAACATATCAACAACCGGGACATGGGCGCAAACAGTATATGGCCCCATCTCTTCTTGCCACAAACCCTCTTCCGGAGACAAAGCGCCCCCTTGAAGAAACATGTGTGAAGAGAGCAGATACGCTGGACCCCTTTGGAGAGCAAGGCTGCGCGACTGTTGAAATGATGCCGCCTTGTTTTGTTTAACGCTGTGCCTCCGCGACTCGGAAGCGGGCTCGTGAGCTGGCCACGTCCACAAGTGAAACACTCTGCTCGAGTTAACTGCTGGGTGGGGGGAGGAAGAGAGGATGGGGGATGATGTGACGAGGGAAATGGGGTAACGGGGAGACGGGTGACGAGGGAAATGGGAGGGTAAAGGCGTTCCTGACCGTCTCTCCAGTCCTGCCCATTCCTTGGGCGCCTGCGTTCAAGGAGGGGAGGCGGGAGGCAGCGCAAAAGGACATCAAGGAGAGGCCCTCGAAAAGGGGCCCCGCAACCCCGCTCTGGCTCCGAGCTGCGAACGTACACGCCGGCCAGAAGAAGTAGGTCAAAACAACAGTCAAAACGTGTACAGTCGGACCTGGGCCAGAAGAACATCCTTCAAGAGCATGAGACCCTCCGTCGGCCAAACGCACAGAACATCCAAGGGTACCCCCCCAGGATGCACAAGAACATCCGACAAGCCCGAGGAACATTAGGGTCTCCTCCCCGAATCGACCTCGATCTTATACCTCGGTCCGACTGCAGCAAAGACGGGTGGCAAGACCCTTGTGAGGCCGAAGTTGGAATTTTGTTGGTGGGGCGGAGGAGCGAGAACGGCAAAAGACGGGCCGCAGAAGCGAGGACACAAGGGCACCCTGGATGAAGGCGCGCGTCCTTACTGGGCGCGTTGACTGGAACAACAACAAGTCTAGACAGGCGCGGTCCAGGATCCGTATCCGCGCCACCGCGGTCTGGACTCTGGGGCGCGATCCCGCGGGTGCGCGGTCGCGCGGATACGCTCCGAGCGGGCCATCCGCGGGAACACGCTCGCCCACGAGTTGCCCAGCACGGCCCGAGGGCGGCTCCACGGGGCGCAGCACGGCCCTGCGAGAGGCCCTCGGAGGGCCCGCAGCCCCGAGACCGCAGCCAGGAAAGGCCCAGCCCCTCGGATCCACGCCCAGACTTCAGCGAAGCGCCTCAGCAGTCCGAAGGACGGATGTGTACCAGGAGAGCCCCGAGAGGCAATGATCGCACGGGGTAGCACGTGCTGCTGTAGCCGCGGCTCTGGCAGCATCTCTGGCGGCAGCATCTCTGGCAGCGTCTGCGGCTGCTGTCGCCGCAGCGGCGGCGGCTGCGTTGTTTTTCAGTGGGTTCCTCATTTTCGCAAGGCCAGGACGGACAGGCAGGGAGCGCCCAAAGATCGGTCCAAGACGCCCTGAAGGGGCCCCAAGAAGGCCCCCAAACGGGCCCACGACGGCCCAAAGGAGCCTAACACGGCCCGAAAGGGAGGGCTCCAGGAGGCCCGCAATACGGTTCAGAGAGGCCCCCGAGACATTCTCCGACGACGCCAAATAGCCCAAGGGCACCCCGAAATGGCCCAAGAACGCACCGGAAGGCCCCGAGATGGCCCACAACGAGGCTACAAAAGAGCCCCAGGACCGCCCCAAGACGGCCCCAGAGTGCCGCCTCCCAAGTGTCCCTCCAATGCCCACAAATCGGCGGCGCGCCTGGAGGAGGACGAAGAGGAGGAGGAGGAGGGCGAGGAGGAGGAGGAGGAGAAGGAGGAGGAGGAGGAGGAGGAAGGACGGGATGAGGAGGAGGAGGAGGAGGAGGAGGAGGAGGAGGAGAAGGAAGGAGGAGGAGGGGGAGGAGGAGGAGAAGGAGGAGGAGGAGAAGGAGGAGGAGGAACAGGAGGAGGGGGAGGAGGAGGAGGAGGAGAAGGAGGAGGAGGAGAAGGAGGAGAAAGAGGAGGAGGAACAGGAGGAGGAGGAGGAACATGAGGAGGAACAGGAGGAACAGGATGAGAAGGAGGAACAAGATGGTTTCGAGGACCAGGTCGAAGGCATGTGTTAGGGGATGTTTCGAGCGAGGCGCTGATGTTGTTCCCCAAGTGTTGGGTCCTTGTTTTCAAGAGACAGCGCCCCGCGTCTCATCTCCTTCCTCCTCCTCACTTCTCCCATCCCTGCCTCTGCTCTCCGCATATCCACCATTTTGGCGATCCCCTCACGAGGATCGTGGCCCCATAGGGAGCTCCACCGAAGGCCCCAGTGGCAGGGTCTGTATGGCGAACTCGGGCCAGTTCGGCACACTCCTCACGAGGATCGTAGCCCCATAGGGAGCTTCACCGAAGGCCCCAGTGGCAGGGTCTATATGGCGGACTCGGGCCACTTCGGCGCACACCCCTCACAAGGATCGTGGCCCCATAGGGCGCTCCACCGAAGGTCTCAATGGCAGCATCCGCATGGCGGACTCGGGCCTGTTCAGCACACCCCGCAGATCGTGGCCCCATAGGGCGCTCCACCGAAGGCCCCAGTGGCAGGGTCCGCATGGCGGACCTGGGCCAATTCGGCACACCCCTCACCAGGATCGTGGCCTCGTAGGGAGCTCCACCGAAGGCCTCAATGGCAGGGTCCGCATGGCGGACTCGGGCCTGTTCAGCGCACCCCTCACAAAGATCTCGGCCCGAGACCAGGACAAAACACCGTCCGGGCCTTCCGCAACATGGTGGCTCCCAACGTACAGGGATGTTCGCCGGGCCTTCCGCAAGACGGTGGCTACCCAACGCAAAAAGCTTTTTTGGCGGGGCCTTCCGCAACGTGGTAGCGTCCCAACGTAAAGGGCTGTCCGTTGGGCCTTCCGCCACACGGTGGCTCCCTTCGCCGGGCCTTCCGCAACATGTTGGCTCCCCAACGTAGGAGGCTTTTAGCTGGGCCTCCCGCAACATGGTAGCGTCCCGACGTATTCGGGGGGGCTCCCGTTGGGCCTTCCGCGACATGGTGGCTCCCCAACCTCGGGGGCTGGCCGCCGACGTTGTTTAGGGATTACGGCTCACGGTATACGATTTACGGACTGCACAACGTATTCGGGTCTGGGGGACCTGCCGCGGTCTGCCCGGTTCCAAACATAGATTTCCCTGTTAAAAACTATGGGTTTCCAAAACCTCAATACGTTGTTTTGGGGGCTTAGGGTTTACGGTTTCGAATCAACTAGCACCAGCGTCGCAACACACTCGACGCTGCTCACACTGCCGCAACGCTCACATCCCACCCACCCTGGATACTCATTACATATGAAGGCATACATCCAGAGTGCACTCTCTATGTCGGCTATCGTGACACTCCTCGACCGCGCCCACGCGGAATTCACGCCATCCTCGAGCGGGCACGCATGGGATATGGGTTTAGGAATTCGCCGCCATGCGAGAAGGCCGCGATACTCCAGCGGGACGGACGCGATCCTCGAGCAGGCACGCACGGGATAGGGGTTTCAGAATTGGCCGCCATCTGGGGAAGGGGGGCGGGGCGAGTGGGATTTATGAGTTCCGCCGACAACATGTTTCGTTTCGTTCTCGTTCCCGGAAAGGGGAGAAGGAGGAGGAGGAGGGGGAGGATGATGACGAGGAGGAGGCGACGACGACGACGACGACGCCGGGCCCATGCGAGAATGGCAGAACCCATGTTCGGGCACGCGTGCGATATGGGGTTTAGGCATTAACCGCCATGCGGGAGGTGAAACATCCGTGTGCGGGCACGCATGCGATCAGAAGTTTAGGAATTAGTTGCCACGCAGGAAGAACAGAACCCGTGTGCGGGAGGGGCGCGATCCTCGGGCGGAAAGGGCACGATCCTCGAGCGGGCACGCACGGGATGGGGTGTGGGCAACGCAGGATCGGGCACGATCCTCGAACGGCAAGGGCACGATCCTCGAACGGGCACGCATGGAATGGGGGGCTAGGAATTAGCCGCCGATCGGGATCGGGCACGATCCGTGAGCGTGAGGGGTGCGATCCTCGAGCGGGCACGCATGGGTTAGGGCGTTTGGAGATTGGCCGCCCTGGGGGGCGTTTAGGACTTCGCCCCCCAGGGCGGAGCGCAAGGGTCACTTCTTTTGGGCACATGAACTAATAATTGATGATGGCGTTGAAGGTTCCGGGTCTTCGGGTCTCAGGGACTTAGGGCCTGGGCTTTTCGGGGCCATGGGGTATCAGGGTCTTGAGGCCTTCGGGTCTTAAGGCCCCAGGGTCTTCACGTTAGGACTTGAGAGCCCCAGGGCCTTAGGGTCTGATGGCCTCACGGTCACAGGGTCTTTGGGCCTCAGGGCCGCGGGGTCTTACGGTCTTAGGGCCTTTGGGTCCGAGGTTCTCAGGGTCTCTGGATCTTACAGTCTTAAAGTCTCAGGGGCTTAGGGTCTCAGGGTCCTGGGGTCTTCGGGTCGCAGAGTCTTAAGGGCGTAGGGTCTGAAGGTCGTAGCGGCCCCAGGGTCCTAGGGTCGCAGTGCCTCAGGGTTCTAGGGTCTCAAGGACTGCGGGTCCCAGAGTCTTAGGGCCTCAGAGCCAGAGGGGGATTGGGCCTTAGGGCCCTAAGGCCTGAGGGTATTCGGGTCTCAGGGCCTTGGGGTTTGAGAGCATCGGGGTCTCAGGGTCTTTGGTTCTTGGGGTCTTAGGGCTTTAAGGCCGTATGGGGCTTAGGGTCGTAGGTTCGCAGGGCCTTAGGGTCGCGGGGTCTTAGCGTCGTGAAGTCTTAGCGTCTTAGGACCTCAGGGTTCAGGGCCGCGGGGGCTGAGGGTCTGAGGGTCTTAAGGGTCTTAAGGGCCTCAGGGCCCAAGGGCCATGGGGTCC